CTTTTCAGTCCTCAGTAAGAGGCGGAGACTGATCGTTTCCGTCCCTCTTCTTCACATAAAATTTCCAATCTAAAATTTTTGGGGGATCCCAGACCCGGCTGTACCTCCCCGTCTCACAAGGTCTCGGACCCCGGTCGACGACGCGCTTCCGAGGCCACGGGAGCCCAAAACTCCCGCCCAGCCCAACCCCGTCGATAGTCATTGTCGACCAGTCGTCTGGAATTTCGAGACCGACCCCACCATCGCTACCCTCCTCAAGCCGATATATCCGGTCTCGGTCGCGGGTAAATCCCGAAATTTTGATTATTTTCTCAAATTTTAGTTTAAGACTTGACTTAAACCCCTTCGGTCACGTCACTCCGGGTCTTAAACCCCACTACACCCAGTGCGAGAAAAACATTCGGTCAGTCTCTTCTGCACGTCGACGCAAAACCTGATCGACGTTCCGCAGATTAACTGTGGGTCAGGGTATGGGTGGTATGTCTCACAACGTCATTTAGGTCGGAACTCCAATGTTTCCGTAATTATTGGGAAAGATCCAGAAATTTTCTATTTTTGCTGAACCAGAACCGGTTATCAGCATAAAATTTTTTCGTACAAAACTGATTCGACGACTGGCCGAATAGCTTAAATTTTCGCCGATAACTTCCAGTGAGGTTCCAAGCACTGTCCTGTCTTCCCTCCTATAATAAAAACTCCCCTCGCGGTCTTATTAGTTGGACCCTCCCGACCCTCCAACCCCAGGTTTTTTTCTATTGGAGTCAGAACGAGAAGTAACTTCCAGCTCACTGTAAAAACCGAGGTCGGGTCCTAAACTGGACTAATTCCTAACACAAAGTTAATTTTTTTGTGTGAAAAGAATTCCCACTACTACAGACTACTATTCAGTAGTCTTTTGGAGTTGTCTCGAAAATTTACATGTCTTTCTGCATGCCGTGTCGGATGATATAAACGATTTGTTCTCGGAGAAGTCTACTGTTAATCACACGATCGCCAGAATAGTAGAGATTTAGGAATAGAGGACAAGGAGCGAGAGACGTCTGTTGACCGTTCTAGACCGCAATAAAGCTAGTAGACTCGCACGTGCCCAGCCGGGCCTGTACGTCTTCGTCGCCCAGCACCCGGACCAATAGAGTCGTGTTGAGGGGTGTCCGTAGCAGAGCAAGACGCTGCCGGAGCAGGTGCTAGGCGAGTCTGTGTTCCGGTTGAAGGAGTTCTGGACTGGCCTCCATCCCAGGATACAAGACTATTCGTGGTCTCCAACACCAAACCGTGATGTTACTTACTTTCTTATATATCCTTTTTGTCATGAGTATAACTAAACTGACTAAGGTCCAAATGTACTCTAAAAGCGACCGATGCCTAGTTGGTTCTGTAGGAGTCAGATGTCGGCGGTAGCCGTAGGGGGAGGAGGGTTTTATATGTAGCAGCCCTCTGGAAGGTTCTTTGACGGTCTCGGGTCACGGTCCATGGCTAGAGAAAACGTCTTGACCCTTGAACACCAGTGAACGAAAAGTCTAATTTTTAGTGAATAAAGTTCAATCAAACAAATAATAAAAAAACGAGTTCCCACAAAAATAATCTTAAAGCTTCACTATATTGTAGATGCCGCCATTATTTGGCATGTCTTTATGGGGGGGTGTCACATATAATAATATCGTAATGACATGGGATTATTACTTCTTAGTTAAGGTATGCAGATGTTTACGTTTTACTGTTATTGTGTGTTTTATGTTATTTGGTTTTTGTTGTAGTTGTTGTTTTGTTGATCATCTTTCACCACGTCCAGTCTTTTGTTGTTTTTTGATAAAAGGTAAATTATACGATTTATTTTTGCCAGTCCACACAGGAAAAAGAGTTAGGTAAGAATTTTCCAACGGTATTTCGGAAACTGGTGTCGGAGAACATCCTTATCGTGTAAAAGCGATTTTACGAGTTACTACATATCCCAGAATTACGTGTCGGAATCCACCTCCTTGGAAAATGAAACTGATAAAATTGACCTTATTTAATTGTTAGCCGATACAACACAAAAATAGAAAGTAAGAATTTATCGTCACGTCGTCGGTTTTGAGTCTCAGAAGGGACGTGGTCATTAACATCAAACTAAAGGTAGGACGTCTAGTGCTCTCTTGTCTAGTTGGCTTGAACGATAGGAACAAGTCATAGATAGACTATATAAACAGCATACAATTAGAAAAACCTATAAACCTTATACGAACAACTTACACTGAGTTATTATTAAGGAGGAATCCAAGTCAAGACGACGGCGGAAATCTCCAAACACTCATCCATTAGCTCAGATCTAATTAATGCTAAGACCACTGTTATGCGAAGCTCCTCAATCCGACGTACGTCTTCAGCAGTTTCCGGTTCGAAATAACAGCTTAGAACGGCCTCAAACACACAATCGTCTCTCTCTCTAGTTTTCCATGCACAACGGCGCTTATTCTATATATCTGTTGTAATTTATTGTCTTTTATTATGAATGTAGTAATGTGTTTTTAAGTGATTGTAGTATTTATTACATGTACAGCATGGCCCGACCAAAAATCGCTTTTGAATGTGCTTTATAAATAAACTTTGATTTGATTAATGTCCTCATCCACCCCGGTCCCTCAGATCCGCCTCAGCCGGTTTGCTTTCCATCCCCAAGGCCAAACTCCGGAGCTTCGGGGACAGAGCCTTCTCTGTGGCAGCCCCGAAGCTCTGGAACTCCCTCCCCCAAGACGTCCGTGAGTCTGAGTCCCCCCCCCCTCTCAACCAACTTCCTCCTGACTGCTTTTCTGTTTTGTTTCTTTTTGGTTTTGTTTTGTTTGTCTACCCTCCCTCCCAAATGTAAAGCGTCTTTGGGTTCAAGGAAAGCGCTATAGAAATATAATTTATTATTATTATTAATGTGACTCAAATGATTCATTGGATCAAATGAGTATTGTTTGTTTGTTAAATTGGTTGCTGTCTTCCCTGGTAATTCCTCTGCGGGCCTCTCTTTAACTGGAGTGAGAATGGGTTTTTCAAAAGGCTAAACACCAACCAGATCGGAATAAAGCAGAATTTGTCACACGTCTGGAACAATCCTCGGCAGCCACCACTCTAATCTATTTCTAAAATAATTCTAATAATCTAAGTGTAATTCTTTCTTTTTTGCAACCTTGCAGAAAACCAGGTTTTAACATAATAAATAAAAAATAAAAATTCTAAATGTCAACATTATGAATAAAGCTTCAAAGTGTTTCACTATTTGGTACAGCCCTGTTTAAAACCAGAGAACTAAAAGGCCTCTAGGCACCTGACAACATCCACGGCTCCGGCCCGCACTTTGGGGTCGCTGCCCATGATCGAGACGCTGGCAGCGAAGGACCCGTCGATGCTGAACACCACGAACTCCGTTCCCCGGGGAATGACTGTCAGGTAGCTGTCTGCAAACGTGTGGTCGCCCCTGAGGGATAAAAAGAACAACAGAGATTAAGACAAAAGAGACAGACCAAGTGACAAATGGTTTTGTTTACGGAACCTTGAGGACACTGAAAAGCAACAACAATCCGAGCTAAAGCGATAACAGAATCATTCAGTACTCTTAGACATGCTCTAAGGATTTAGTTTTAGGCCCTGTTTGGGTGTTACCAAGGAAATAAGACAATTAAAAATGCCAGCAACTTTGTTTTTCTCTAACAAAAGTTCCACATACGTATATCAATATCAATTCAGGGGCACACAACATTTATACAGCATGACAACACCAGCTTTTGATTAAAGCAACCACACCTTTAACCACAGACACACAGGGAACCAACATACACTCAAGACCCGTGTACCGGGGGTTACACATTTATCATAAGATCATCAATTCGCTCACATTTAAAATGATGTTGTTAAAGTCATTTTGTTATGGATTTGAAATATTTTTGAAAACCAAGCAAGGTTTATAAGATGATTGGAGCCTCTCCACTTTGATGTGTAAAGAAAAGATTAACCAAACCAGATAACCAGTAATAGATAGAAGATTGTCTAAGAGCAGAATCTGTTGCGACTATGTTCATAAAATATGTAATGTAAAACCTTAAAGGGGACCTATCATGCAAAATGCACTTTTGTACGTCTTTTATACATGAATATGTGTCCCCGGTGTTCCAGGGAACTCACCAATTGTCCAGAAAACACAACCCTCTCGTAATTTCTCCCCATACCAAATCTCTGAAAAAGGGGGCGCAAACGGATCTGTACAGATCTGATCCAGATTTGAACACTTCTGTGACGTCCCACAAAGTGGCGCTAACGGGCTATTGGGGGCTCCAACCCACCAATCCAGGGGAGACAGCCACGGACATTTGCGGGTTGGAAAGCGCTGCGGAGACGCTGGTAGTAACATATCCGGCCTGTAGATGGGTGGCCCTGTCTCAACAGAATCAGCCCCATGTCAAGCAGAAGTGCTTCAATTGAGCGAAATGAGGAACCGGCAAAGATCATGATCTTGTTGTTGATTTTTTGAAAAATAAAAAGTATAAATAATCTATATAGGTATGTACACTATAATTATTCAAATATAGCATGAAAGGTCCACTTTAACTGGAAACAAAAAAAACATACAAGTTTTTCATTTTGATATATTACATAAGACAAGGCAATCCTTAATTGAATTAGGCCAGGCCCAGGCTAATACATGTCTTGCCGTGAAATGGTCTCATCTCCACCTGATAACCATCTTTGATCGGGTCAGACTACCGATTGCCCAGACGTTTGGTCATCCGGGACTACAAAAGAACCAACACGGCCACTACCGTTGGTCACTTCTGTGTCGCCAAGTTAAATCTCACTCTCCCTGAGGGAGGGCTGGGGTCATGGAGTGGGGTCACCCTTGTAACAAGCATGGAAAAAACATGACAAAAACTACACCATGCAGAGCATCATCTCTGGTGAAGCCTGTTGGTGGGCTGGTTTAAAAAGAAAAAATAATAACTACACCCTTCTCACCCGGCAAGGTGGACCATTGCAAGAGGCCGTACAATGGAAGCGACTGGTGGGACCTGCCTGCAAGTCTTAATGTGAACACCAGCCGTCCGTTCCTACGGGTGGTTGGAGTCACGTTCGGTTCCAAAGGAGGGGGAGGAAGAGAAACGTAATGGCACTTTCCCAACACTAATCGCATGTATGACTGCAGGTGAGCAAGCCGAATCTTCCCTGTCTTCCCAGTCTCCATGCATTTTTTAACTTTAATCCTTCTCTAAAGCAGGTGTTTATCTAGCCATCGCATCCACGGTCCTAGTATTTAGATCTGCCATACTCTGTGACTTCGATTCTCATACACAATTAACCTCCTTTAATGAAGATATGACTAAAGGCAGAAAGGGATTCCAGCAGAGCATATGTTTCCACTGGACAGTTGACGGTACTTTTGTAGATGTGAATGGCCCTTGACTGAAAAACACACCTGTTCCCACACATACATGTAAAATGTAATATATCATTATGTATACTATGAAACCAGAAAGTATGTAATATGGCTTCATTTTTATTAATTATATTTAAAGTTGCTTAACTGGTATACTCATCTTGATCTTGTATTTTTACTTTGAAAATTTATCTTTAATTTGTAGAGATCTTCAATTCCCCTCCTGTCCCTGTTTTTCCATTCCTACCCCTGTTGCGCTGGAACTACTGAATTCCCCTTTAGGCGGATTAATAAGGCTCTTATCTTATCTATCTTTATCTTACCCTGATCCTTCCCACGTGTAGTCCCTCTGTGCGGAGCTCACTTTCTCGGGGGGTTAGAGCGGGGGTGATATTCGTGTCACTGTCTTTCCCGGTCGAGCTCCAGGATGCGTGGAGTTTTCATGCCATGACACTACGGGAGGGACATTTCAAGACCCATCTCCCATCATCTCCCTGAGATATCATCCACTTGTAAATCAGGCCATAAGAGTGGCAGGTCAACTGACCACCTGTACCAGGAGGAAAGACACAACATCAGTTGAATTCCCAAGTACGATATGCGTGGGAAGAGATGCCGGTTAAGCCACGGTGGGGAAAGCAGTCACGGGCGTCGGGGCAAGTAACAGGGCGGAAGGTCCAGCCGTCCGTGCCCACCAACCGTGCCCGCCCACGCCATGGGGGAATCCAAGGTAGGTAGGGGCAAATACATAAGTGGATACATGCCACCCGGGCCAGAGGTCCCAACACCCCTGAAGTGTAAAGCAAAAAGACAAATGAAATCCATCCGATCCAGCCTGTCTCTTCAGCTAAAAGAAGGAAATTGGTACGTTTATTTGTTATTGACCCGTGAGAGGCAAAAAGAAGAATGAGAAGTTAGGAACCTGCGCATGATCATATGGGACAATCTGGAAAGAATGGTTCATCATTATTGTTTATTTTTTGACATGAAGAAAAGATTTGAATAGATTCATATATTTATCCTAATCAATGGAAGTAAGAAACCCTTCACATCTAGCCAAAGTAAATGGGTAAGGAAAAGAAGGCTTTCTTGGAAGAGCAGTGGGCCAGCTTTTTGGGATTTTGTACCAAGCGTAAAGAAAACAGCTGGAGCTTCTCCATCGTTGAATTTCAGAAGAATCCCCCCTCCCTTGAAAAATACCTTGGTCACTTCACCTGGGGAGTCCCCCAGTGAGACCAGGTTCAGATATAGCAAAGTCCCAGTCCGGTGAGAGGCAGGTTCCCGTGACTTGCCGGTAGGTTTTATACCCTTTCATACTTGCGGCCTCACTGATCCTGCTCTGACCGCTAGATCTGCCGTCAGGAGACTCTGCGGCAACTCGGCAGAACTTCCACTTGCTTACGGGAATTGGAGGACTTCTCAGGAAGAATTGTTTGCTGATGAAAGCGCGAGTTGGGACAAGAAGGACCATATTTGGTTTGGTAAATTGGGCAAGTGATTGGGCTTGGGGAGAAAAACAGAAAAAGCAAATCACATGAAATAACTGAGGCAATAAGGAATATTTAGATTGTCATACAGAAATTAGTGGATAAAATTGAACTTGGGCTTAAACGTTCCAACCTCCGGAAATATACTATATATATATAAAATATAAAACAAAATACACAGTTTGGAGCTGTATCTGCCCTAGAATACTGAAGGCCTATACAATTTTGAAAATTTGCGGAAGAACACTGTTGTTCCCCCAAAACCCGTTATCTTGGTTCGAAATGTTTTTTTTGATCTCAAATGGAAAACACAACCTATTGTGTGTTTAACAGTGAAGCAACGTGAAAGATGAATCGTTATTATTCATGTCAGTGACCTGTAAAAAAGTTTTTAATTAACAAAAGATGATGTGTGAACTGCTGCTGTAATGTTAATGAACCAAAAAATAAAGGGAAACAGAAAAGCTGGGTTGAACATATAAAAAGCTGAACAACACATAGTAGTCCCACAGTTAGCCAGCCTGCTGGTCTCCTGGAATTGCTCCTGTATCGCATAAAAATAAGATCCTGTTCAGATTAGTTGTGTGAAACCGCATCGGGCGTACTGATGTGTTTAAAAAAAGCAGGTGCAAAAACAAATGTTGCGGTACAAATAATGCTCTGATAACAAAAGTGAAATACTAGTGAGGGACGGAAAGACTTTTGGAGGCCAATCTCACATAACGACAACAGATACCGCGCCCGTCTTGCAGAAATCGCAGCAGGGAGTTGGACCCATGCAAGGGATGGCTTGAAGGAGGCACGGTTCCCGCCATTGCGCCACAATATCAGAGAAATGCAGCCCTGGTTCCATTGCATTGTACATTTGACAGTGGAATAGAGTAAGACAGACAGTGAAAGGTGGGCGGCTAAAAACCTTGCCTCTTTCGTTTCCGGATCGCTGCGACATGCAGTGACTTTTGACATTTCAAAAGAACCGAAAAGTCTGGCCAGGCACGAGAAAGGGAGCTATCTGACTGAGTGAGGCAGGGTGCTGTGGTAGAGCCTCGAGGCAGTGGAGTAGAGTGATTCGAATAAAGAAACAAGAAAGATTCTAACCTGTAAATAAAAGCTAAAGAGTGGGAATTAAGTAGACCCAGAGTGGGGTGTGTGTGGAGTGGTATGGGAAAGAGAGGCTTTGTTTGGAGGTAAGAAACACTTACTGTTGGCTACGTGGCCCGCGCGAGCTGGTGGACTGTCTGCCCCATCCTGGATGGCTGGCACATGCTGACCCTCCACTGGCCCTGCCGTTGGCCCGGGGAGAGGCCCCGTGTTACCGGGGGATTGGAGGGTACGATACTGTCCCATGAAGACACCACCCATGAGACTGAACAACATCCGCTATTGAGCCGAAACAGGGAGAATCCCATTTAGACCAGAGACACAGGTATACAGATATCACAGTGATGGATGGGGGGGGAGGAAGAATTGCCGCCGCCAGAGAACTCGCTGGCAGACATGGTTTCAAGAAGAGACAATGTGAAGCAGGAAGGAGCCGCATGGGGCCAAGGGTCTTGAGGTGTTAATTAAATAAGGATTCCACTACATCTGTAACTTAAGAAACCCCTTTGGAGGTTTCCTTGTACTTTACGTGGAGTATTTAATTTTGAACTGACAAAGCATCATTAAGTCATTATTCAAAATGTTAATATTAATATACTAGCTAATCGCCATAAATGTGTACCCATACTTTTTGTCTTTAAGTATATTTTGAATGCCAATACTTTTGTAACTTGGAGTCATCATTTTGGTTTACAGGACTCTACTTTGTGACAGAGTATTCCTTCAACCTCCTGCTACTTCTATTCTACTTTTACGTGAGATTAGATCTGAGTACTTCTCCCACCCTCTGCCAAAG